TGAGGTGACATTTGAGATAATCGAAAGAAGCTTCGTGCAGAAAGCTAGGCATGTCGACGGACAAGATGTGCTTGTCGTAGTCGTAAGCAAGCCTGTACTACTTTAGCAATCCTCGAAATAGACAGATTTGTTAACCCTTACCTCGGCTTCGTCAAAATTCGGCCCGCTTCTCCTGCCTCGTGTATTAACCTAAATTCTGCTGGTCTCACGCCATGGAATTCCTGTTAGTAAGCACATCAGCGGCTGTATTCAGTGACTCAGACGACTTCCAAGTTACCTTGTGGCCTTCATCAGCAGTCAGGTCAGCCATATAGTCCAATATCCTCTTCACATCTTCAACCCAGTAAGAATTCTATCCGATAAATGCTTAAATTCTCGAAACTTACTTGGGGTAAGAACTTCGGAACGCAGAGACTTCTTGGGAACATCGCCACACAAAACATCTGTCGCTATGGTAGGGACGCTCTCTACTGGCTTGGTCTGCCCTACCGCTTCTGCACGCAGGGGTGTTTTAGCGGATGCTGCTTTTTCGGCTCTGTTTGGTCGAGGTAGACTTGAGGCATGTAATTTCTGGTGCTTGGGCTTCTGATCTGACTCTGTGAGCGCTGGTGTTGTCAATGGACTTGTAGATATCGATCTGGCCTCATAGCACTGGTATGTTTTGGGTACAAAAGTGGTGTAGAAGGAACAGTGGTCCACTTGAGTTACTATTGTAGACATGGCTGTTGGATGTCAAGTGTCGTTGGGTGCTGAGCGCTGAGCAATGCCTTTGTGTGAAACGTAAGATCAAACGTGGAAGCTCCGAAGATAACTTGAGTCTTGAGATTACAAATGATAATGATAAATCGGGTAGTGGGAACAACAAATGCCATCATCATCAGCTGCTGTAGTACTTACTTGCAGTAGCCTAGCTAGTCGTCGATATCTCATCTCTCCCTCCTCGACCCCTTTCCAACGTACCCTTGGCGAGTATATAGAGTATAATACCCCTGGCCATACACTCGATTATGTATAGCGCCTGGTGTGTACCACATGTTCGCTACCCTTCTATTTTGCTTCTATGACACTACTAAATTCGCTAGAGAGTACCGCAAGTTAGATTCATAATTATCAGTATTGACTCCACATTGTATAAGTACTATTACATGTTATCTGAGATCTGAGCCTTTCAGATAGTGAAATCGTGGCATAGATCACCTCATGCTACGCCATGCCGCCACCCACACAATAACCGCTTCTCAGCGGGGACTTTCATCTTACCAACATCGTGTAATACCTTCAGCCACATCCCGGCATGAACGGCGCCAATTATTCATCTCTGCAAGTCATGGTGTATATCCCTGACAGCCTGGCCTTAACCACATTCGACATCCGGATCCTCCTGTCGCCTTATCTCCTGCTACATTTTCAAAATAAATAAATCCACGATCAGCGCAGCTCACCACCATGTAGAAGCAAAGGTTTAATATCTCCAACAAGATACATCAGACATTTATTATTAGCACCAGGGCCGGCAGCCAGCAGTAGCCTTCCAGTCACATTACACAGCTAGTGAGGGAGAGGTACTTGAAGCTCGAGCTATAGAACCAGAACTCTGCCTCAAAATCGAAAAAGATCCATTCGCACTTGCAGTTTTCTTCCGGTGACTCTTCGCATGTCTGCGTCATATCTATAGTCGTGACTTCCAGTTCGTGCAGCGTTCGACAGTTCTGGAGATTTGTACTTGTTCGGATGCTGAGCGCGAACGGCTGGGTTTGATTTAGGATAGATGTGCTGTGTTAGATATGATATGATAGGAATGAGTGGATGAAGTTGTACCTCTTTTTTTATATTTTTTGTCTAGTAGGTGTTCTTTGAGTTTCCCGGCGCGTGGAGGGGCAGGAGGAAGGACACTGTGGGAGGTTTGGGCATTTCACCTTGGGGGTCTTCTGGTATCGGGTGTTTGAAGGATGAAGAAGGAGACGCTGGAGTTTCGATAGCGTGCTAAGGTGAGTGAGACGGTCACGGTAGATCGGGGAAATGGTCACGCATCTTGAAATCTCCTTCGGCATGATGTTGGTTTACGGGTCCATCCTTGGCTTTTGAGCTTAAAGCTCGACAGTGGCCGTCTTCAAGGACTGACTCGACTTTGAGATGGAAATGGTGTGGTGTGGGTCGTCGCTATGTGACATGGAGAGGCGCTGATTTCTCATGGAGATTGAATCGAGTCCGTAATTCAAGTTCGCCGCATTGTCACGGTAGTGACCTCATGATGTTCTCGTAGTCTTTTGTATTGTCCTCGCTGTCATTTTTACTGGTTTTACGGTATCATCATAGGTTGTAGTACTACGTGGCAGTATGCATGTTTCAGTTGATTTCTACTCGATCAATGCTAGTTTTCGTATCTAGTAGTACGCCCAGGTTCGAGCCCCAGCCTGAGAGAGGTGAAGAACGGACCTCCAAGTCGCTGGCGCTCTCTGGCTCTCGCGACCTTTCACTGAAGCACCCTATACCTACATAATGATTCATCATCATCGTGATTGTGCGGCGATTAAAAAATCGGTATCAGTGGTGTGGGAGATGTGATCAAGTCCTTGAGCCGGGCCCCTGGGATCATCATGATACCGATGGTTGAAGTCAGCAAAAAAACCAACCACCAGGAATTATTAATTACTACTCGTGCGCGACTACGTCAGGCACTGTGCCGCATCCTCGATGTCTTAATGTTCGGGTCTATATCGACACGACTCTCAGACTGTAGCTGTTTGCAGGTTTTAATTCAAGCATCTCGAAGACTACTATCAGTCTATCACTACTAGTAGTACACGAACTTCAAGTGACATACAACATCGGGTCCGGGACAGCTTCTGCTTGTGTGGGCATGAGCGTAGCATCAACCCCTGTGAGTCAACTCGAAAGCTATGGTGCTGTTACTAATCTGTATGGTTTTAGTTCTGAACCCTGCAAGAATCAATACCCCGTGCAGCAGCGAGCAGCACTAATATGCCGTTTCAGGCTCCAGCCGAAGGTTCGGTACATGGGTAAGCGTCCTCGAGTCTGGAGGCCCTGTGAAGCTTCAGATTTGTACCCCATTTAATTCGACCATGCTGCTCTAATATCTTGATAATATGTAATAGGCACCTTGAGGTGAGTTTAAATGCCCTTTTAGATTGAAGTTCTGCCAACCCTCAAATTCTTTGTCACAGTTCCCCCTGCAAAGCGGCTGGACCGTCCTGTAGCCGTTTGCACAGCACTTGCATCAATAGTATTCATGCCCCCAGGTAAGTTCTTCCTCATTGTGATGGGCAGTCCAGACGCTGACGACTTCAACAGTACGCACGCAGGGTGACCCCTTCGTTCACTGGAAGGTGGATATCGAACGCGCAGAAGCGGCTAAGGCTTCCCGGCAACAAAGGCAAAAATATGTTACCAGCGCCATGACTACCATGGCCTCTACTATTAGTGCTGCCCCAGAGAACGGGAGTCACACATTAGAAGGCCTTGTCAGCACGTTCCACCACTACGTCCCCCCCACGGTCCCCACGACAGGTCAAGTCTCTTTTCCTCTTCCTCAGCCTTACATCCAATTGTCTTCCTTCCAGGCGCCTTGGCAAGCGCCTCTCACCCTGCTGCCCTTTCAACCACCACTTGCTCCACCATTGTCACCATCACCCCAATCACTTCCATCGCCATTATCGCCCATACCGTCCCCATCGCCCATACTGCCCCCATCGCCCATACTGCTCCCATACGAGTCACCCCCATTGCCCATACTGTCCCCATCACCCTCATGGCCCATACTGCCCCCACCGCCTCCATCTTCTCCATATCGGACCATGTGGCAAGATCCAGAGACAACACCAGCGCGCTTAGGGTCAGCCGCCATCTGGCAGTGGGCACCCGAGCCAGCCTTGGGTAGCGAATTCGACTTGGAAGAGTTGATAGCAAAGTTGAATCTTGTGTGGGACGGGCAGAATCAGACATTCTGGGAGCAATTTACTCAAGATGTAGTAGAAGAGTGAAGCCTGTCATCATGTTGTCGTCGTTTATTGCTAGTAGTACCACTTAGGACGGTTGGATTGGAAGTTCAGTCAGTGTTCGGGAGCTTGATTTGCGTACCGGCTGATCCGCAGCATGCATGCTCGTAAAGGGAAATGCCAGATATATCAGGGGGGGCACGTGATAAGCACTCGCACTTCAGAGCACGAACAAATTATGTAAGACTCAGACAGAATTCAATAACTCGGTGACATGAGCTTACATGAATCGATATTCGAAACCACACAAATAACTGACAAGTATAGCAACAATTCTGAAATCCAATACCCCCATATGACCAGGAAAATGCTTGATCGCCTCCTCCGTCAAGTCCAACTAGAACTTCTCCTAGATCTGCTCATGCACGTGGAGCGCTTGATGTTGTTCGTGTGCACCATGAACGCTACCGAGTTGACTTAGCGCTTTTGCGAAGGATCGTAAATATGATAAAACAGTAGACACTACCCTGTTCCGGATTATCAGCTCTCTAATAGTTCAAGAGCGTCCCATTCTCACCGATAGTTGTTGCAATAGTCTTGCTGGGGATAGAGTGTACCATACCCTGCAACGGCCCAGTCACCAGCGAATGAACTTCAGATACAAATACTCCCTCCTGAGAAACTGATCCACGAGTGTGAACAACTGGAGGACAAACTGGTCCTGGTGCGCGTCATCACCATCTTTGAAAATGACAAGACATCCTGTCGTCAGAACACTGGAAATATATAAAAAAGGAGTACGGACTTGAGTAGAGACTCGACTTGAAGACGGAAGACTTTTCAGCGTCGATAACCATAATGTCCATGTGTGCATTGAGCGGCAGAGACAGAGGAGGGATGTTGACGAGCCCATTCTTAGAGTCATTGATGAAAGAGACCTAGGTCGTGGTTCTTTAGAAACGCGCAGCTCCTTCAAGTTAGTTTGAAAAAGCCCTGGCATTTAGATCAATACAAGGAGGCTACATATCAGAGAAAAACGCACGAAGATTGTGCACCGTGAATCCTCAGTTCTGGGTTCCCAAGTAGCTCTGAAACAGACGGGTGTAATATTGGTCCCTCTAACTTCTGAGAACTAGTGTTGTGTGGCCTGCAAAATGAGTAATAGTATGTACACAGGGAAGTGACAGGAAATTTAAGATCAGAGAACTTTGCAAAAGTGAAGTCGCCTCGGTTGTCCTTGCCCATGAAGAAATAGAACGAGAATGGCACAAGCTTACTAATGGTAGAGTGTGCGCGACGAACATCACGTGCATGTAGGACATATGAAATCTATATCACGTGACGTCTCGCTCCGAGGCATACATAAGACTAGCACACACCCTGTTATGCCTTCGGCACAAGAAGCAAAAAGGAACTCTTCTTGCTCCTTTTTAGCCTCCTGGCTTCAGCTGCATTCCAATAATTACCAGAGGTTTTGAAATGAATAAATCATGTTTTTAGGATGATTTTGATAAAAGTAAAAGTATAATTGAATATATTCCCGTCTCCCGTCTCCCGTCTCCCGTCTCTTCATTTTCCTGTCCTCCTATTCTTAGTGTTTTAAAGTCTGGTCCAGTTAGGCATTGGCATGGGTACAGGTACAGGTCTGACTTTCAAGACCCGTGACCCATGTACCCATGTGGCAATACCTGTTGAAGCTAGCGGTACACGCTCAGTGTCTGGAAGGAACAACTGAGGTATAATGAGAGAAATGGAGTGACTATATGTACTGATACATGTGATATGAGTCAAAAAGGAAAGTGCTATGGTAAATGATGACAATGACAAAGGAGAACTTCAACACACCCCCACAACAACACATTGTTGCAATCATGGTGACCCAAGGGAGAGACCCGCTTGATGACAAAGGAAGAGAGGTCGGGGAAGACACTTGGTGAAAATGTCAGTGACATTTTTGTGAGTCAACAACCACTCTGGCTTGAACATGCCTTCCTCAATGTGTGCACGGATAAAATGGAAACAAAGGCTGATATGCTTGGTGCGATTATGATTAGTGGCCTCTTTGGAGAGAGCAATGGCTCCAGCGTTGTCTGTGAAGAGGCGAAGAGGAAGGGAGAGTGGGATGCACAGACATTCAAAGAAAGATGCGAGCCAAAGGCCATCTTGAATTGTAGCCATGAGCGCCATGTACTCAGCCTCAGTTGAGGATAGTGCATGGGTTAGCTGCTTCTTCGATGAGTGGGACACAGGTCCTCTGTTGAAGAACCAGACATACCCCGATATGGAGATACGATCTTTGGGGGTATTGGCCCAATTGGAGTCGCTGAATCTGTGAAGTTCAGGAAGTGCTGTAGCACCCCCATAATGAACGTGTAGGCTGACAGTACCAGACAGGAAACAAAGGACGTGTTTGGCCACAGTGTAGTGGTGGGGCTCTGGACAACTGTTGTGTTGCACCAGCTTCATGACTGCAATGGTGACATCGGGACACATGTACATCATGAGGTAGAGCAATTCACTGATGAGTTTGCGATACTCGGAGAGAAGGTTCTCGATGTGAGGGTGTGTGTCAGTGTCACATCCAAATGGAAAGTGTGAGTCCATGGGGAGGGTTACTGGGTTACAGCCGGTCATGCCATGTTCGTTGAGTAGATAGTTAATATAGTTGGTTTGATGTATCCACAACTTGCAGGTGGTATGGTTGCACTTGAATTGAATGTTGAGGTGTTTGGATACCAGACCGAGATCAGTGATGCCAAAATGTTGCGCTATCTGACCCTTAATCCACATGAGGAATGGATGATGGCTCACAGCTGCAAGGCCATCATCAACATGCCAGGCAATGATGCAAATGATGTGTTCCCCCTCTCCATTGACGTGATCCATAGATAAAAATGGTGTAGTCAGCCTCAATGCGAAGGAAGCCTAACTGAGTTAGAACTTCACGTAAAAGTTCATACCAGTTGTAGGCGGCTTGTTTGAGTCCGATAATAGGTGACAGACAAGGAGGCTGATGCTGGGCTCGACACGTTCAAATCCATGGGGCTGTCACATGTAGACATCCTCTGTCAATTTCCCCCACAAGAACACACATTTCATGTCAAACACATCGAGTTCCCAATTGTTAAGGGCAGCAAGTGCTGAGAGCACTCGAATTGAAGCTGCTTTGGCAACAGGTGCAAACGTCTTCCCAAAATTGATCCCCAGCTAGTGATATAAGGGGTATGGGTAACCCATGGGTTTTTGGAGGGTTTTTTAGAGGGTATGGGTAGGGGTACAGGAATTTGAACCTGTGAGAAACCCATACCTGCAGCTATGTACCCATGTACCCTCAAAATTTGAAACTCAATTTATAATAAGGCAATTAAATCACATCTTTGTTCAACCTTTACCATGGCAGGTACTACAAAAGCTAAGAATAAAGCTCCTGGCAAAGTCAAGCATACAAAAACATTTACACAAACCCTCTTGCAATCTCACAAGAAATCCATAGCAACTCGCAAAGTCTCTACCTTTGCATCTAGAGCTTTGACACCATCCCCCACTGGAGGATTTTCACAAAGGGCAACAGTTCAAGACTCCAATGATGACAACGATGATGATGAACCAAGTCACATTGGGGGCAGTCTCAATGCTAATAGAGATGTAACAATGGAGGCTGTGGTGGAGGACAGTGAAGAAGAGTTGGCGGCTGAGGATGAAGACAGTGAAATAAGTGAATCTAGTCCTCAGCGCTGTATTATATGATGCTGACGGTTGACAGGATGACTTTTGAATGACTGGACAGCACCGGTTTATGTATCCTTCAGGTCCACCCCTACCATTGAGTACATCAACAACTGCCGATGTCACTCGTTCCAATGTGCAGCAACAAACTGTAAGTACAAAACACGGGAGGTGAGGAGATATCTTGATACTGGGGATGCAAAGTCCATGGGAAATATGCATAAACACACAAAGAAATGCTGGGGTGCTGAAACTGTCGAATTGGCTGACAAAGCCAAGAATGCAGCAGAGGTGCGCGTGACAACAAAAGGGGTCCTGGATCCACAGTCCATAACGGTTGCCTTTGAGGTAAAGGGAAAGGGAAAGTGACGTTCTCACACCGTCAACATACAAAAATGGAATTGCGGGCAGAGATAGTGTGGTGGGTGGCCAAGAGTAAGAGGCCCTTTCAAATTGTCAGTGATCGTGGCTTCCAGAGCTTAATGAAAATGGGAAGACCGGAATATTACATACCTTCACCCACAACAGTATCTCGTGATGTCAAGAAGGTGTTTGCGAATATGCAAAAGCAAATTGCAAATATGTTGCAGGAGTATGAGGGCACCCTCAGCTTTGCTACAGATGCATGGACCTCTCCAAACCACAGGGTGTTCATCGCTGTGACTGTCCACTTCGAACAGGATGGAGAGCCAGTATGCTTGATCCTTGATGTTGTTGAAGTAGCAATGTTACACTCAGGTGCTAACCTTGCTGCGGCATTCACAAAGATCCTTAAAGAGTTTGGTGTGTCTGATAAGGTCAGTTTACATCAAATAGCAGTGGACAGGATACTTACCTGTAGCCAGATACTGTGTATAACCTGTGATAATGTGTCTTCGAATGACACCATGATTGAGGTGCTCAGTGACCTGATTCCCTCATTCCCTGGAGATCCCAACCATGCACAGTGCTTTAACCATGTCATCACTCTCATAGCAAAAAGTTTGATACATCAATTTAATGTCCTCAAAGGCATGACAGATGCGGCACTGGATGATGTAGAGAGGGAGTTGAGAGATCTTGCTGAGAGTCTTGATATTGAGGATGAGTAGACCAGAGGTGAATAGGAGGGGAAGGAAGATGACGATGATGACACTGGTGATACTGCAGATGGCTGAATTGATGAGGTAGCTAGACTCCCCATGGCTGACCGTAACAAACTTGAGGAAAACATAAGGCCTGTCAAGCTGGTGTTGGTTAAAGTCAGTCACTGAACCAAAGTCTTATAGGTGTTGTCATACTTACCTGAATGCTTCCACAGCTATGCAAGATCACATTCACATCCCTCCACTCAACAACACTTCTCCTGCCCTTGTGGTTTGAAATGCTCCAGAAGCTCAGCCTACCAGAATGGAAAATGCTGCGTGATGTAGCAACATGGTGGAACTCAACCTTTGACATGCTGGTGTTCGCAATAGAATATTAGTTAGCTATTGACAGTGTTACAGTGGACAAAAGTGCAAACCTGCACAAGTTTGAGTTGGATAAGAATGAGTGGATCATTGCTGGACAGCTGGACAGCACGTTGAAGGTGCATGCATTTCTATTTTTGGGATTGATGTTGCATGTTCTCATTACAACTTAGATATTCAAAGATGCAACATTATTTTTCTCTCGTTCCACTCCCAGTCTTGCAACTGTGATCCCTGCAATGAATCACATTGACAAAATGCTCACCAACCACTCCCTTAATCGTGATTATGAACTATCAATTTGTGCTGCCCTAGGGATTGCCAAGAAAACACTCAACCACTACTACAATGCTACAGATCAATCTGAAGTATATTGCATTGCTATGGGTACAAAGTCTTTTTCTTTCAGAATGGTTATAACTACTAATGTAATAATGCTATCTATTGACAGTGTTACATCCCAGACACAAACTTAAATATTTTGAGCATGCTGGCTGGGAGCACACCTGGATTGATACTGCAGAGGAGATTGTGAGGGATGTCTTCAATCAGTCCTATTCCACACTACATGCATCTAGTGTATATGAGGATATACCCACACCTGTAAACGAGCAGGCCAAGGTACATTTTGTTTAAACACTTTTGATACTGCTGGTGTGTAACTGATCTTCTATACTAGGTACTTAATATATTCGACGATCTGCCCTCCCTTGCTGCTCCACGTACTGCAGAAATGCTCAACGAACTTTCATGCTACCTCAGCACTGATCCAGAGCAAGTGAGGGATGTCCTTCTCTGGTGGCATGAGTGAAAATCAGTATACCCTTGTCTATCCTGCATGGCACTCGACTACTTGTCGATTCCTGGTGAGCTACTAACTTATACTATGGCAATGGTGTTGTCTTATTAACAACATCAGTGATGCCAACCGATGTTGAGCGTGTTTTCAGTCAGAGCCACCTCATTTTGTCTCATGTTCGTAACCGGTTATCTGCACAGTCAATGTGTGCTCTCCTCTGTCTCGGAAACTGGAGTCTGCTGGGCTATGTGAAGAACAAGGACATTACCGCTATCACAATTCTACCAGAGGTTGCAGGAGATGACAAGGAGCTTGAAGAAGGCTGGGACATCATAGATTAATTTTTTTAATTTGTTTCATGCTAGTAGTGACTCAGATAACTACAGACTTGTGCTTAGTGTTATTGGTGTACCTGTGGGTATGGGTATGGGTTTTCATAGGTAAGGGTACAGGTATAGTCAAAAATACCCATGGGTTACCCATGCAGAACACTAGCAGGTTGCCAAGCACAGTTTCCAAATCTCTCTCGACTTGCCCGCGATGTCCTTTCAATACCTGCATCAGGAAAAAGCTCGCCCATCATTTGCATCCTGCGAGAATACATAGCGCCACATAGCCTCTATAGTACAACAGGGCACCCCCACAACATCCAGTAGCACTACATAGCGACCTGTAACTCAACCTAATGGCAACTGAGGCTATGAAATTGATCTCGCACATAGAAGACAATGTTGTGCCCTATAATACTATCAGCATTACACCAGCTATGCTATGACAGTCACTCAAACAACTCTAAATCAATGTACCTATTCAAATAGAATTCTTCTGACCCATCTCGACTGAACCGGGGAACAAGGTGACAAGGGCGCAGAACTTGATTCACGGGTAGAACAGCTGCATTAGGTCCCCGCTGCCATGAAGACCTCGTGAGCTTGAAACTCTGCAAATTATCGTCGAATGTTTGAAGTGGCCGGAACCAATGGATGTATGCAAGGGGGTGGGGAAAATGTCCGAAACGTGATGGGAGGTCAAAAATAACCTTCACTTCACCAACGCACAGACCTAAGTCACTAGTGAGCAAGCATAGACAATCATAAAACAATAACACATACCTGATATTCCCTCCCCAGTGTACCGGTCCTCATCTTCAATCACAAGCACCGTGTTGAAGTGTGCAGGAGCTGGCCCTTTCCTTGCATCCTTCGACGGAATGACTGGCACTGCGTGTACCTTGAATAAACATTTGGCATTGTTTACATGTGGTCGTGGGGGGGAGAGCACCTTCAGGTACTTGTACACATCAACCCAGTCTTGTGGTGTAAATTTTCGGTGTGTCTGAGTTTGCAGGTTGTGACGGACAAACTCTTCGAGAGCGGGAATGAAGGCGGAAGCACCGTGCTCATCAATTAACCGCTGAATTGTTGAGTTTGGAAAGGGGATCGTCCGGGGCACAAAATATCCACGAGAAGCTGTTAACATGACGAAACGATCTATCTGCCGAGGTAGGTCTAACACTCGGAATGGCAAAGGTGACTCACCATCAGAATCAGAGTCAATGCTGGTGTCTGAGTCCTGCGAGTGTGTATCTTCGTTAGCAGTATTTTGAGAGGACCACCATCGCAAATAAGCCTCTTGAAGGTAGATAGATTCTTGTTGGCATAGCCATGTTGTCATTTGAATAATGTAGTCACGGCGATTGGAAGCACAGTACGCACGCTTGGTAAAATCTATGTGAAGTCGTTCAGGGAGCTCCGTGTTGAAACCATCTGCACTCCAAAACAAACGAATTGCATCAATGTAGTGGACCATGGCGTGAACCTTCGGTATATTGAAGTGCTCCTGTACACCAAGTTCAACAAAAATGTCCTTATTGGCATGAAATAATGCGAGGGCAGAATGCATCCGAGCAAGTGTTTTGTCCGTGTGAGTCTTGTACTGTGCATAGTAAATGAAATCTGACATGCCACGGACAGCTGTTAGAACTTGATTGTCAACCGCCCTGGCAATCACACCCAGAAAAACCCGCTGCAGTTCTCGGTAATCTGCTCCCGTCCATTGTTTATGTTTTGAGATGCCTTTTCTGAAGTGTCGGAGTCCTGAATACAATGTCATCTCCTTGAAACGTGAGTCGAGTTCCTCCTCGCCTATGATTTCGGAGCACCAGCTTACAAGGTGGTCCTTAAACACACCTTTGTGCAGCTGATGTAGAATGTCGGTAGTGATACATGAGAAAATGTTGTTGTGTGGGAGTGTCATCCAGAACAGTGAGTAAATTGCTTGTAGTCCCAGTTCTCCCTCAAACTGATCATTGCCCATCTCGCCATCACGGTGCAAGCGCAGATTTTGGAGTGTTGAATCTCAATTACGCACTTTGGCCCTCATCATGTCTCCTCGCTCGTTACATCCCACAACACACTTTGGGCACCGGTTCTCCATGCAGCAGGTCATGAGGCACTGCTCTGAAAAATCAGCAACATACACTGCCACAATGGGATGCAACCGCCTGACTTGATGATCAGGGCATGTGACATCCACTCTGTCCGTTCCTGCACTGACCAATGGCTCCAGGACCTGTGTCATGCAGTAGTGGAAGAGATGATAAGGTTCAACAGAACATGTATCTCGCTTGAAGCATTCTAACTTTGAGATTGGTAAGTACGCGATTAGGATGGCTGCACGTTTGGATGGCTGACAGCGGATCTCTTTTGAGATGTTTCTGAGGGTCAAGTACATGGGCCACACCTCCTGGTCTCCCCGGAACTGCGACAATGAAGTCTTATCAGATGCCAGGATCACTGGCGCAACAACAGCCCCTGGAGGCAATCTTCCCTGTAGGAATGTCTTTAGTGCATTTTTTTTCACTCTTTGGAGACACCCGCACTTACCTGCATCTCCCACCACCACTCACCAGTCCACATCTCATCAAACATGCAGGTCTTTCCCTCCTCATCTGCAAAAACCCTCTCTGGTGTGTATGACACCATGTTTTTGAATTCTGAGTTGCCCATGAGCTCACGGATACAGTCTACAGGGTCCCGTAACCACAGTTCGAGCTCTTCACTTTCCCATTGGCCACTATTGCTGACTATGTTGCCTTTGACAGTTATTTTCTTTAACATCCACTCGGTGCCTCGGGGAAGCTGATCAACAGCTTTCATCAAGGTATATTTACTTGTGAAGGAAGTATTCATGTGGCCAGTCTGTTCCATGTCCTTGTAAGTGTCTCTCAGTTGTTGCTGCAAGTTTGACAGCTCACAATGGGTAGTTTAAAGAACTCGTCAATTGCCATCTGACCTACTCTCGCAATCAGCCACTTCACCAGCCCCCACTCCTCTTCATCTGCAAAGGGTGCCCACGGATCTAGGCCTAATGCTTCTTGTTCCACTCTGATGCTCTCAAATAATGTCTCTGCTTGTCCGAGCGTCCTCGCTACTTGTCCAGGGTATGTCTGGATAAATCGCATCCAAACTCTTTCCTCGTCTTCAACTTCTTCAACATGGACATGATGATTGGGTGGAGGGGATCGTGGTGGCATGTCTTGAATGACATCCACATCATAATCAAATATGAAAGGTATGTCTCCATCGACATCCATATTGTGCATCTCATCATTGACTTGTGCGCGGACCCCTTCCATACGGTCCTTGCAGGCAGGTGCATTTGCGATGTGACTACTAACAGCCCGAGAACTTTTGAAGCTTTTCAGGCAGAAATTGCAGCAGTCAGACATGGGCAAGGAAGGGCAACAAATGAGCCGACAAAGCCAACTTCCAAGTGAGTGACACTTATTCCAGTTCATACAATGATTCAGACTAATCTTTGGCAGGGAGGACACAAATAGCTGACAAAGCCAAGTGAGTCGACATGTGAAATTAGGACATGTTGATTGACCAGTGACCAGTGTGACTCCACGCATCAGACATGTCCTATTCTATAAAATGGTAAGATCTTCATTGCTTGCTACTATTCCCACTCTCATCTCTGCCTTTAGAATGTCTTCGACAGGACCCAGTTGCCAAGCACTCGCTAGAATTATCAATAATGTGGACACTGCTCCCTCACAGCGCAAACAATGTGAGCACCGTCCCTCGGAGAAGGCACTATATCAAGGTATGTCTGGTGTTTTATCTCATTTGTACAATCAGATCTGATTGTGTCTTGGAGTTTTCGTCACATAATGTCTCTCTGTCCCAAGCGCCGGTCGCCAGCGCACTGGATCTAAGGCCACGTTTCAGCAAGGTGCCTCCGCAAGTAAATACACCCTCTCGTGGTTGGCAAGAAGATGCCCTTACAAAGGTAAGACTGTCTGATGACTTCAGATTGTGGATGCTAACGGGTATGACTTGCAGGAGTCTGGCTTTGTTAATAGTACTAATCACACTCGCACACCCATCCATCACACATTGCCACCAAAAGCTCGATCTGAGAATACTGTAAGTGGGTTAATCTTGAGTTCAACTCTAAGTGTGCTGATTGATTGAAAGCCGCAGCGAAGACTCAGCACCGCTCGTGCAAAAGAGCTGATGCAACTTCGGCAGGCACAAAATGCACATACGGCCCCTATAGATGACACAGGCAACACTTCTGAGGAGAATGAGCAGCCTTATGGACTCGGAGATGGTGATGGCCAGGATACTGATGTCGATGAGTTTGACAGTGGGACCGCTTACATGGAGGATAACCATGTGTCTGATAATGAAGGTAAGTAGTGTTCCATCATTTGAATAGCATCTGAACATGTTAGTAGATTCACGCCACGACTCGGGCTATGTTTCATCTTCTAGCTACAAGGGTGATAGACCACACAATCACAAAAGGAAGCGCAATGCCAAGGATTTATCAGAATATTTTTTTTCCCCACAATCACATGAGCCACGATGTCCATGCAAAGTCCACAAGAGTAAGGGTCGTGTAGCAGCGCGTGACTATGAAGTTGCAGTCCAGCAACTCATCAAATTCGCCATTGGTGATTTTCATGGACGGCTTGCATCTCAGTACGCATACCCAGATCGCATGACTCAAGTGTTATGGGCCAAAGAAGCTTGGAAGGAGGCCTGCGTGTCGCATGACATTGAGATAGGATTCAATGGAGAGATAATACAGATGGTATGTGTTTTGTCTCTATTCATACAGCTGCCTAATCTTTCACTCGAGATCACCTGTCGCACGTCACATCTCACAGGTGAGGTGAAAGCTAAACTTCGCCCGCTTGCTGAGAGCATTTATGGGTTTGACTGCAGTACAAGAGAATCTGTCAAGTCTAAGAATCGCCAACTCGTGCAGGACCTCAAGGATAAATTTGGCCTGTGTTACCAGGTGAGTAGTAGGCAATATTCCTCATGTCATCACACTGACATTCAATTCAAAGGATCTTGGAGACAAAAAGAGCAATGTTCCTCGCAGTGGCCTCTTTTGGATGAGGTTGAATCAGAAGGGGGCCAATTTGATCTGGTACCAGAACAAGAGGGACGAAGGGATCATGTTTGATAAGTATTTCACACCATTTCCGATTCCTGCACTGGCCTTGTTATATACTGCAGTGAGTGACAAGCTTGGCTGGGGGCTATTAGGTTCACATGGTCGCTTTGTTGACTGCAGGCTGAGTGCTGTGTGGATGAATGGGCTGATGGAGAGTGCATCGACATCTGTTTTTCGAGCGGCGAGTACAAAGCTGTATATGACAAACACCTTGCCAATCTCAAGAGATTTCAAGCGCAAACGAAGGACCATGGCATACTTGATACGATACTCAAGGACATCAACAACAGCGGCAGGTGAGTCTTTTGAGAATTTTGTCATCATGAGTCTGACTCACACACTGCAGGTCGCATGCTAGAGTAGATCCGACCGACATTCCACAGGGAGGCTGCTTGTCCGACAACAAGATCAAGAACACCATTCGGGAGCACCAGCAACAGGGCGACAACACTGGGAACGAGAGTAATGATTCGGATGAGCTTGATGGTGGATTTGAGGATGATGAAAGCGAGCGCAGATAACAGCTTATTTTATTATGTTATAGTGCTATTGAATGGATGTTGCTATTGCTTCTATTTGTTCGAGTGCGGCAAAAAACAATCACTATGATCTAAGCTGGATGGTATGGTAGGCTATGTAGCACTACATAGCAAGACTACATAGTCAACATGCAAGGTACAGGACACAATATTGTGCAAAAAGTCAGGTAGCCTGTGGTATATAGCGCTATGTTGAGGGGGGGGTTGCAGCCTAGCAACATTTACTCCGTGGCTTCTGTAGCACTATGTTGCATATCACATTTTTGCTGATGTGGTGAGTCCTTACTCCATGTTCCAGGTGTCTATACTTAGTTCTCTTCATAGGATCAGCTGTTGCTGTTGAACACATTTTCTCCAGTGGTCGTGACACAGTTTCACTACGGCATGCAAGTCTCAAGCCTGAGACTATCAAAATGTTGATGCTCATGAAGGCAAGGCTTCGTTTGGGTCGTTTATAGTTGATTTACACTCCTTATGTACTGTACTCTACTGTATATGTCCGTAAAATACTCCATACTGTACCATTTGCTTCATCCACCAGCAATGCCACGTATGGTATACGGGGAACCCATATACCATACCTTTACCATATGTGTATGGCCATCTACCGTCGACGGTATGGTGTGCAGCCCTACAGTACAGTAGCTGCAACAATGAGTGCAGATTCTTCATCATCAATCACTTTGTCTCTATGTCATTTTGCAATGCTTGATATTGATATAAAATGTCATTCCATGGACCTCTGGTTTGGTTTCTTGTACAGAATATCTGAATGTGTAACTTGAAAAATGATTTTCAAAGTCCAGTATATGATAGTCCACATTATTTTGCCTACAGGAAGTCACCCAATGTTCAATATTTTGCTTACAGATTATGGATTTAGCTCAACTAATTATAGCTCGGGCCACGGTGCCTAACATACTAAAACACTCAAAGCTGCAAATGACAATGCACCTAGATTAAATCTGGGGGTATTCGGAGTCCTATTGCCCGGCTTTCCACCATTTGAAGCCCCGATGGCTCCGATCGAATATCTCATTCAACATTTATATCATGGCTCATCTAACATTATCTAACACTTTAAACCCATACATATTAGAATATCAGAATGTCATCACCATCAACCGCGCCGTCATCATCACCCTACGGCATGGGGGGTCTTTGTGACATCACAGGCAACATTCCTGAACTCGCGGGTTCAATTTTCCAGACCAAAAATGCTGGGCGCAAGCGAGAGATGCAGACGTATATGGTTGGAGGATTTTCCCGTTGTACTTGGTGGCAGGCACTGACTTTTTTGTTATAAGATGGCGCTCGATGGAATCGAAACAGAAGCTGATGAGCAGGACACACTGTTCACGAAATTATGCATCGAAACAGTGCATTCGAGCTACCTTGCGGCGCAGAATCGTGTGCGCCAGTACACCCAATTTTTGACACTCCTAAAGCGTGAGGAGGATGCATGGGCACAGAGGGCTAGCAGGGCGTGTTATCTAATGCCAGATTACAAGCCTGGCAGTCACTCATTCTAGAAGGAACACTCCAGTCTTTTAAACCTTTCTGTAGCAAACTTGAAGTTCATAGCCTCAAGACATTTTATCTTAGCAGGTGATCGCTTGTCTTGTTCTTTATGTTTCCATATATCGTACTACTCCGCTTATCTACATTCCGCTATCAACTATGTATTGGATCTGAACCTGACAATGTATCTCTTGCTTGCTCTCGGAAGTTATGCTTGACAAATGACTTGTCAGGAAAATTATTAAAACTGTATATGGCAATGTCTGAAAGAGGACTTGCGAAATCAAACTGTCGCACGCAGTATCATTGCCGCCTGCCTCAGGCTCAGGCTGAGCTTGAAGCCAAGTCAGATGCGTCTTTCTCAACTGCCTTGGCCCGGGATTGTGTTGCTTATCGTTGTCGTCTCAATGGTGCTCTGCGGTGCACCACATTGCTCTTGGGAGAGGGGTACGGATTTTCGCGGACTTAGCAGACACCGCTCGGTCTGCAAACACTTTCAGAAGGCAAGCACGTTAGCTACGGAGAGAAGGCGAGACCAGGCAAGAGGGTCCATTCAAACCTTGCAAAAGTCCTTGCAGCTCACAACTACTAGTGGTACTGTTCCTAGTGTAAGTCTCTAACTTCATACCGTACTATTTACCCTACTAAACCCTCGTGTGACTCTCTTACCTCCCATCACAGCTTGGGCCGATCCAATTTACCAAGGATCGTTGCTTGAAACCCATAGCTCATTGCGAATCCGGGGTATCTACCAGTAGTAGCTTCGAGTCTGGGTCGTCACCTGGGCCTACTATCGCCCCAGGCAGCACTGCTCACGCTACTAATACTTCGACCTTTCAATTTCAAGACCCCCAAGTTATCGACGTTGCAATGGAGGACGCTGGTGAACGGGCCCATAACATCCGAGGTGTGAAGCTTGTCATCGTCTTGTACATAGCACTCACCAATTTCAAGCCAATCTAGTTCTACATCCCTCGCGACAGAACCTTGGGCCGATCCCAAGAAATTTTGAAGACATTCTACCTGCTGATGAAGACATCAACATTTCGGATGCTTCTTGGAATCCTCCCATGACCGAAACTCAGAATCTGCCTCAGCGCAGAATCCAAAGAGTCCTTTTGACTCTACGGGATTCTCTTCAGACCGCGCTCAATGCCTTTGGACTTTATCGACAGTATCCTAGGCGGCCTTCCTTTGAGCCTGATAAATATATCCCGTCTTCGCTACTCGCTAAGTCCTGTCCAATGGCTACTGACGCACATTACGCCCAAAGGCCTGATACATCTCCCAAACCACCTCATCCCTTCCCCAATATGACCACCTACCGCCTCATGACTTGGATGAACTCTGGAAGTCATCATAAATCGGAGGCTGAGGTGTCGCGCCTGGTGAAAGATGTGATTCAAGCGGACGACTTTAATCCAAGGGACCTCGATGGATTTTCTGTGAGGAAGAGCTTACGTGCATTAGACCACGACGATGACGGAGAAAAGGGGACTTGCGCTTTTCCAGATGACTGGTTAGAAGCTGATATCACTCTGGACATACCTACTAAGTCAAGAGATGACCCTTCCGAGTCGTTTACTGTTCCAGGGTTTCATTATCGACCGCTCCTAGGAGTCATCCGCTCCGTATTTACCGATGTCCAAGCTAACGCGTTCCACCTACTTCCTTTCAAGCAACTGTGGAAGGATCCTCTCGATGACAGCCATCAATGGGTATTCGATGAACTGTACACGTCTGACTCATGGCTACAGGCTCAGGATGACCTACAGCGGCAGCCGAGAGAACCGAATTGCACACTGGAGCGTGTTATTGCTGGACTCATGTTCTTCTCTGATGCGACTCATCTCGCAACCTTCGGAACGGCGAAGGCTTGGCCCCTTTACCTATACTTTGGAAATCTAACCAAGTACGCACGCTCAGCACCTAAATCTGGTGCATGTCATCTTATCGGGTTTCTACCTTCGGTACGTTAACGGTCTCCAGCTTCGTAGGCATCTCTCATGTTAGATTTTCAGCTTCCGGATAGTGTCAAGGATGTCCTCAGCAGCTTACCTTGGATATCGAAAACCGGGATAGCTGCTCTTCACACACATTGTCGGCGGGATTTATTTCATGCCTGTTGGAAACACTTACTGGACGCAGACTTCCTTGAAGCATACCGTCATGGAATTGTGTTACGGTGTCCGGATGGTATACTGAGACGAGTATTTCCACGCATATTTACTTACTCCGCAGATTATCCAGAAAAGTGCGTACTTTTTACTTTGTCTTCCTCATTGAAATAAAACTCAACTTCCTAGGGTTTTGATAGCAACAATAAAGGACATGGGATCTTGCCCGTGTCCGCGCTGCCTCACGCCGAAAGCCTCCTTCTATCTCCTGGGCCTGTTGAAAGATATGCGAAGTCGTATAGGTAACCTCCGAACTTACTGTCTGGACAGGGTAACAAGTGCCCGGGGGTTCATCTATGGGTTGGGAAATACTGTCGATGGTTCAAAGGTGCAGGCAACTCTGGGAGAAGGTTTATGGGTGCCGACGGTGGTGAGTACATCTGAATTCATCAGTGTTAGATTACTGCCTGACTTTCTACCAGAACGCTTTTGCAGAAAAACTGGGACATCTAGGATTCGACACCTTTCGCATGCTGGTGGTCGATTTCATGCATGAATGTGAGCTGGGCACCTGGAAGGCCCTTTTTACCCACCTCATCCGCCTACTCTATGCATGTCCGGGTGGCGAACACCTTGTCGCAACTCTTGACAACAGGTTCGTCCTTCACCTTTATTCTCCGTATTCATTTGATAAGTGATGACACTAAAACTAGATTTCGTCATGTTCCGTCATATGGTAATGGAATCATACGGACATTTTCAAACAACACTTCAGAAATGAAAAGACTCGCAGCGAGAGATTTTGAGGATATCCTACAGGTATGTCGCATTCATCGAGTTGAGTTGTAGACGTGCGCTGTTGACACCTATCTCAGTGCGCTATGCCAGTCTTCGAGGGGCTTTTCCCGGAAGGCCATGATGAGCTGGTACAATCTCTTTTGTACAGGTTTGCCTTATGGCACGCCCTGGCCAAATTAAGAATCCATTCCGACACTACGTTGTCAGTTTTAGAGGAGACCTTCAAGCAGCTCTCCCGTCAATTACGCAAGTTCCGAGACGTTACCTGCGCTGCTTTCACTACCTTGGAGCTACCAAAAGAAAAAGCCGCTCGAGATCGCAAGGC